TTAATTTGACTGCTCCAAGGAGCAGCTGTATCAGTCAGGCCACTCTGGACACGTTAATCCTTTCAGGTTGCTGGAAGGAAACTCTAAAACCATGTTCTCTCTCAATCTCAGAAGGGGTACAGGCCAGACCAGGGCAGGTTTCTGCTTGTGGTTAACTCCTCTCACAAGTATATTAAAAGCTTTTCTGGCTCTTGTGTTGCACCTTCTGAGGGGCCGGGAGAGCCCAAACAACAGGTAAAGCAGCCCCAACCTGCTCACAGCAGCTGCTAGGAAGCGTTTGCTCGCCCGCTGCTTGGGGCCAGCGGGTTCTTGTGGTTGGGGAGAGGTGAGAGGAACGGGTGACCATCAGCAGACGTGACGCTGATGAGCATGAGCCCTTCTCTCTTCCTCCTCCCACGCTGCTGCAGCCCTCGAGTGTCTCCCACCTCCTTTCAGAGGTTACCAGGAGTGGTCTCACCGTGCTGACAGCTCCCTCAGCACCGAGGGGCACATCCCCTCAGGCCCCACTGGCATGTCCTGTGCTGGTCCTGACCTGATCCCGTGCCACTGAGGGAGCTCTCCATGCTGTGGGTGCTCTCTGAAGGCCAGTCTTGCTGCTAAAATCCGAGGTGAAGATGCTGGGTGCCTTGACCACGTCCTTTGTCACCGGGTCTCCCCCCCATTCAACACTAGCTTCAAAGGATGCTGTTCAGCCACCTGCGATGGTGAAAATGTGGAGGAATAAACAGTGACAAGCAGCAAGGCCATGAAGAGAACCAGGGTGACACTTGAGGTCTCAGATACAAAGCTACACTTATCCAGAGAGGGAGATTGCTCTGAGGGGCAGCCAGAGAGGGCCTGATCTCCACCAGCACCGAGCCATTTGCAGCCACAAGCGCAGCCACAAGCGCAGCCACAAGCGCAGCCACACTGACTTTTAAGAGCTCCAAAGAGCAAAGAAGGGCCAGGGTGTGGCACGCCCTGAAAGGAGCTGCTCAGAGAAGGAAGTGACAGAGCAGAGGCAGCTGCTATGGCTGCAGCGTGGGTTAAACACGGGGAGGGGGGGCACAGTGTAGGCGAAGGAGACATCTTTGGTGGGAGCCTGGGGTTGGGGGGGGCAGAGAACTCCCGTGCACAGAAAGCCCCATCTCCTTGTGCTACAATGGGGACATTGCAGAACAACAGAGGAACTGTGGCCCTGGGGTTGTGAACTCAAGCAAACTGCATTACTCACATGCAAAAATACAGACAAAGGATCTTCATATATTCTTTTAATGACAAGGCTTGGGGTAATGAACCCGGGCCTCATGATTAAAATCCATGTAATGTTCTCTGTTACCCTGTAACTAAGGGGAGTCTGTGGCAGCAAGCTCCCACTGATTTGCCTTCAGCATCCTTCTTTTCCTTCGGGTGATTCTGTATTCCCAGGAAGTCTCAAGGAGAAGCTGAAACCAGCTCATCCTTCAAATTCAAGAGGGACTTTCCAGGCAAACTAATGCATTCCTGTTGCTCCAAATCCTTTCCAGCCAAGGCTCAGAATGTGTAGCTGCTGGAGGGGGAGCCCTGGGAGTGCAGCATCAGCAGCAAAGACATCCTCTCTGCTTGGAGGCACAATGATGTTCTGCAAGGCTCCTGCTCGAGGCAGCTCCCAGTGTCACAGCAGGAGGTGGGAGGCCCAGTGCCTGGTTCTGGTGGATCAGGATGCATTGATGGGTGCATACATGACCTCTGTTGTCACCCTCAGCTGTGGCTGGTCAGCGCTGCCTCCAGTTCAAAAGCAGATGCTCACCACATCCTCCACCTTTGTGCTTTCCACGTGAGACTCCGCATGCAAGGCCTAGAGAAGTACAAAGGAAACACCAAAGGTGGGACTTCTCCAGAGGTCGTATTGGGATCAGGAGGGGTCCAGAGCTGCTGATCATCTGCACACAACAAAGAGCTGGCAGAGGCAGCAGCTGCATAAAGCTCAGATGGCTTTACCCACCACAGTGGTGGGGGAACATTGGTTCCAGCACCCATGGGTGCAAAACTGGCTCAGCCCATCAGGTACAGCCAACCCTGAGAGAGTGCTTCACATGAATTCATGAGACTGGGAAGCAAGGAGGGATGAGCTCTCAGGCAGAAGCTCTTCCCTGTGAGGGTGCTGAGGCGCTGGCACTGTGACTGCCCCATCCCTGGCAGTGTTCAAGGCCAGGTTGGACACAGGGGCTTGGAGCAAGCTGCTCTAGTGGAAGGTGTCCCTGCCCGTGGCAGGGGTTGGAACTGGAGGAGCTTTAAGGTCCCTTCCAACACAAACCACCCTGTGGTTCGATGCTTTACAGGGGATCTAAAAGATTTTGCCCTAACCCTAACCCTGATCACTCCACACTCAGTGTTATCTGTCCCCTGGCACTGCACTGCACCGCACCATTTCACAGCCAGGTTTGCCCCTCTGGCCACCTACGTGTGAAGGAGCTCTCAGTCCTTGTGCTCCAACAGGAAAAGGGAAGGCAAAAGCAAACCCTGCTCCTGCTCTTCATCTACCAGTGGGTGGAGCAGCCGCTGCCACCATGACCCTGCTGGGACTGAAGCCAGGGCAGGCCCCAAGGGCACGTCATGGGAATGGCAGTCTTGGGGTCACCATTGAGCTGTCACTGTCACCCAGCCAAGGAGCCCCACCAGCGTCACCCCTCCGCAGGAATGCTCCGGCAGCACAGCCCATCCCATGGGATCCCCGGCCCAGCCCCGACTCGCCAAGGAGCAGCAGGATGGAGCTGAGGCTCCATCCGCACCGGCTGGACAACAGCATCTCTGGGTCACAGCAGAGGAGCTGAAGCTCAGGCTGATGGTCACCACGCCTCTGCTCGGTGCCAGGGCTCTCAGCTCAGCCAGGGAGGAAGCTGGTGACTCTTCCTCAGGCCCCGGTGCAGCACAGGGGTTTGTTGTGGGCCCAGGTTTTCTTCCTGCCTCAGCTCATGGGCTGCTACAACTGCTGGTGGTGGGACCTGGGGAAGAGGGGGAGTGCCTGTGACCCTTCTATGGTCCTATTTTAGAGCCTCGAGTGACGCCAGGGCAGGAGGTGAGAGCACCAGGGCTCAGCGCTGCCAAAGCAGCATCACCCAGCAGCAGCAGGGGAAGCCTCCCCCTGGCTCTGAGATGGGGACCTTGAGCACCCCCAGCAAAGGCAGGACAAGGCTCATTAGGAAGTGGAAGATGATGGATTTAAGCAGTCCTCCAGCTCCAGCAGGGCTTCAGAAGCCCTAAGAGAACTGTGATGATTTGCAAAGCACCAAGAGTAACAAACAAGGATTAAAAGTGCATAAATGGTAAAATGCGACTACATAAGCAATGCTCATGACAGCGTGAACCGCCAACCTTCATAGCAGAGCCCATCACCTACAAGTGAACACAACACGTCCTAGCTCTCACCCCATCTTTCCTGCCCACGAGCATGGCCAGAGCCATCGCTGTCAGCCCAATTGCTGCTGCCTCCACTCACGTCACCCGCACTTGGCTGGGTGATGTGTCCTGTCCGGGTTTGCACCTGAGGGGGACACTGTCTGTGAGCAGCACCAGGGGCCTGTTCTCAGGGAAGAGCTTTGCATGGCCAAAATCAATCCATCTTTCCTCCAGCTCAGGGAAACCACCCACTTCTCTAACACCTAACGGCAAACAGCCAGCGAGGTGCTTGCTTTCAGGAAAGCACAGCACGAGAACTCTTCCCAGCATGAAATGCCTCCTTTCACATGCCCAGGAATAGCTCCCAAACCCCAGGGCATGGGTGCTGCAGAGAGCCCTCTTTGAACACCCTCTTCTCAGCACTCTTTGGTCCCCAGCCCTGTGCTCAGACCCTCCTGGACTTACTGGGGAGGACTGGGATGGAGCAAGCGGCCATCCCCATGGGAAGTGCCAACATCTCCTGGCCCAGGGCATGGTCACAAGGGTGGAAGCTGCTGGTCACAAACCTCTGCAGGGCCCGGGAAGGCGCTGAGAGCCAGCACCAGGCATCTTCCTCTCTCGGGATGCAGACTTGCAGCTCAGAGTGGGCAGAACAATCCCTGGACACCTCCATAGCTCCATAGGATTTTCCCTGCTCAGGGAAAGCTGAAGGTCTCAAAAAACCACCCAGTTTTGGGGAAGGACAAAATGGAAAGAGTGATGTTCCTTCCTTTTCCCTTTAGCCAGGAAACAGCCAGCAATCAAAGATAACAATGGTACCTTTCCCTATGAGGATCACGTAAATGGGACAGGCAGCAGGCTCCTGCTGGCTTCCTCCTCACCAATCCCCCACCCCATCAGAGAGCCCCGTGAGTTCTCACTGCTCACAAAGACACCCCTTCCCAACCCCTTCACCTCCCATTCCTTTTGTGCACAGCCCCTGTGCTTCTCTTCCCCACGGAAAGCCTTCAGTGGGACCCAAGGGCTAACAGGGAGGACTGAGGTGGGGGATGCATCAGCGCAGCCCTGTGACCCGCTGGTGAGCTGGGGGCTCTGGGGCACACTGTGGGGGGAACAGGAAGCTCTGAGGTGTACTGGGGGCAAATGGGGTTCCTGGTGTGACCAGCAGGTAAAGGGGGGGGCTCTGGTTTCATCACATTGAACACTCTGGGAGCACCGAGAGCTGAATGAAGGGCTGTGCTGCACAGCCAAGAGGGAGGGGTCTGGTCCCAAGGGCACCCGGAGGAGACAAAACACCAGTGCTGGGTCTGAACTGGATGGGCTTTAAGGTGCCCTCTTCCCAAACCAGGCTGGGATTCGAAGCGGCACCACTAAACCTAAACCCACGTCGGGAAGGACGATTCCTTGCCTCTTCTGCCACCTTGTGGCCGATGGAAGAACGAACGCTGAGAATGCAACCAAGCTGCCTTGCTTACTGCTCCTCACGTTTATTCCACGTTGATGGGCAACACAGACTTAGTTTCAAGCTCCTGATTGCTTGAAATGGATACTTTAAGACGACCACTTAATAATCTAGAGACTTGGTGCTTAGCTTTGGAAAATGCCTTAAACACATCCATTGGATCGCCAGGGAAGGGGAAGGAGAAGGAAGCAGTTCATCATTTATTGGCTGAAAGAACTCGATTACAAAACCTGATCCAGTAGCATTAAAGCAGAGAGAGCCTGTTCCCTGACACGCGCAGCAAGTGCTCAGCTCACCAGGCACTGACTGCCAAAAAGCCCTGGTCCTCCAGATAAAGCTGCACAGGAAGAATTTAGCCCTCATGGGAAGCAGGAGGAGATGAAGCTCAGGATTTAAACAAAGCCCTCCCCACTCCGTGGTTTAGTGCTGGAGTGGCTACATTAGAGTAACACCAATGAGGAAATGTGTTCTTCTACATTCACCATAAGCAATTCCCCCCGAGAGGTTACTCAGGCCCCCAGAGGAGTGTGCTGGCCTGGGGTTGGCTCTGAAGAGGAGGCTGATGTCTGAAGAACACAGCCCTTGGCAGCAGCAGGGTGAGCAGTGACAGCCACCACGCTCCCTGGCAGGAAGGCACCTATGTCACCATGACTTGTCACCAACACACTTTGTGCCAGCCCCAGACCTGCCCGCTCCAGCCCAGGGCAACGGCAGGTAAAGCTGATGTCTGCAGTATTCCCCTCACATCCTGGAGGCACAGGGAGGCAAAAAGGGCTCAGGAACCCTCAGTACCACCAAATAACTTGTGAGAGGACCCCACCACTCCAGGCTTTCACATAGTGATCCTTTGGTTCAGAACACAGAGATGGTTTGCTGTCACCACCACACTCCCAGCCATGGATTCACCCAGCAGCGCAGGGGAAAGCCACCCCCAGAGCACCAGAGTGGGACCATGTATGGAACCACTGCAGTTTGCTACTTCCACACCATCAATGAAGATGTGTGAAACTCCCCAGCTACGTTGTGCTGGTGTAACTGGCAGTCGAGAACCTGGCAAAGAAAGTAACAGACTGGATGCTGCAGGCTGCTCAGGGAATTCATGGCCTCAGCCTAGAGGAATAAATTCCTGCCTGTGCCTGAGGCTGCTGTTTACAGAGATGGGAACCCATCCTGGGGAGATGAACCTGACAGAACCAGCTCACTTCAGGCTGCTGTTACCTGCCACCATGGCTCATGTTTCCCTTTCTCATCCCCCTCCCCTCTGATCCACAGCTCCCTGCCAAGCCTTCCCTGGGAAGCTCCTGGTGCCTGCAGCAGTGGGAAATAACTCTGAAATTCAGCCTCAGGCAGCTCAGGCCACACTTGCAGAGTCTCTATACAGTCAGTGTTGATTAAATGAAGGCAGCAAATGTAGCACTCGTACCCTGGACACAAGAGCATCCTGCTTGCACAGGAGGGCCAGGGGTGAAAGGGACCAGCCCTGGTTTAAGGTCTAGATAGCAGAGCAGACACCTCCAAAGACAAACCCTAAAATCCCCTCTTGGTTCTTAAATTCCCATGCTTCTAGCATTCCAGTGTCTCTAATAACAGGATTTGCCTTTGTTCTTTACACTGCATCCCTTTGATGTGCCAGACCAGTTTATCCCCCAGCTAGCCGGAGCCGAAAGGCACCTCTGTGTTCACTGCCTCCATACACAGGAGGATCTGGTGAAAACACCACCCGAACTGGTCAGCCCCATCCAGCAGCTGGTGAAAACCTTACACAAAGCCCTTCTTCAGGAAAGGTGGAGCAGGCACAGGGGGAGATCTGACAGCAAATCCTGTGGCTGCTGAGCCTTCGCCCTCGATTCAAGCACAAGAACACACACATGGCATTACCGGAAGTCAAGGAAACACGAGACCTACATCCCTCATCTAACACAGCCTAACACATCCCCTTCCCAACATGCAGCTCTTGCTACTTCTCCTGTTCCTTCTAACCTAAAGCTCTTCAGAAAAAAACTCCCAAGAGGGGGTTCTCCCTTTGCAGGCCACCTCTCCAGCAGCATGGCTTGTATCAGTCACTGCTCTTGGGGTACGCGGTATGTTTAAGAAGCCACTGAAATTTGCCAACAGCCCTCAGTTTTAGTGGCATGTTCACATCAAACAGGGGCCAGATTTTCCTTTTCTCTAGAAGGGGTGAAGTCCAGCCTGGGGTGAGACAAAGCCCCAGAGATTTCCATTCTGCTCTGCTGAAGCAAACAACCCCAAAACCTGGAACTCCAGCTGGCAGTAGGGGTAAATGCAAGAAGTCCAAATCCTGAAGGCACTTGGTTGGAGGAGCACTTCCCATGGAGTGATCAGCCCTTCCTGCGCAGAGCCAAGACAGTCTGAGGGGCCGGAGCAACCAGGCTGGGTGCAGACAGCAAGAGGTGGTTGTGCTCAAAGGCAGAAGAGGGTCCCCCAGAGCTCCCACAAGTTCCTTTGGCTTCCACTTGCTCCCTCTCCCGAGCAGGCACCGGGAATGGCTCAGAGCGGGTGGAGGTGTTTGAGGTGTGTGCGACATCGTTGGGGGGGCAGCAGCAGGTCCCCGTGCACGTGGCCGGGCTAGGCCTGCAGTCCCAGCAGGCGCGCGGTGTTGAGCACATCGTCCCTCGTCAGGTAGCAGCCGCAGAGCTGGCGGTACCCGGTGAACGCCTCCCGCCCGTGCAGGACACGCCAGTTGTCTATGAACAGGGCCTGCAGGAGCAGAGAGGAGGCCATCAGCAGGGCAGCCACCATGGCCAGGACCCTCTGGCAGGACAGGTCTGAAAGCTGGAGCCCCCTCAAGACAAAGAGCAGGTGAGGGTTTGCCGGGGGGGCATGACCACTCCTGCTCATCAGTGTCACACAGCACAAGACCACAGCCGGATGTTTCATGTCATCTAGCACAGCTGCTCTACCTGAAGCACCAGTTCTGCTCTGCCGCTCACCAGCAGTCAAAACACGAGGGCTAGCAAAGCACAGAGGCACATTCTGGGCTGTTTCTTTGCTTTTCTACTGGAGAGGCTGGGCAATAGTTCATCAGCAACAAAGGGACCATCTCCTGCCTCTGGAGTGTCACTTTCCCCCAGCATCCTCAAGAACACAAGGGGGGGTGTTTCTAAGATCATCCTTTTCTCCCCTGGACCCTTTCATTTCTGGGGCCCTGGGCTTAGGCTGAATCTAGCCCCTGAAGGAATAAAACCCCTTCAAGCAGACACAGCTGAATGAAGAAGCTATGCACTGCAACACCTTCAGGTCTACAACTGTGGCTCCAGCTACTCAAGCTCTTCAATGCTGAACCCAGGATCAGCCTTTCAAAGCACAGGGCAGAGCTTTTTCCTTCCAGTACCAAGGTGTGCTATGGCATCTTAGCTGCTTCTAGGACACTGCCCAGGTCTTCTGTGGCTCACTGGCAACGTGAGGGTTTAAAGATAACCTCAGAGCGGAAGTAAATTCAGCTTCTTACAACTTTGTATTTCCATCACACTGGAAGTTTCTTCTGGAAGAAGAGGTTGAACACTAGGTGTTCCCAGCCCCTCTGCTTCTGAGGATCCTCACTGCAGTGAACGAGATCTTTCTCCTCTCCTCTAGCTGGGCCTAACCTTACCCTGAGGCAGGGTTTGAACTAAACACTTCTGCCTTACCTGGAAGCTCATATTTTTAGAACAGGAGGAACACATCTCCCCACAACAGATGCCAGTACTGTAATAGAGGCCAGTACTGTAATAGAGGCCACCTTAGAAGAGCTGCGAAGACAGCTGCAGTATGTGGAGCTTGCCTGACACAGTCACCTTAGCGGCAGCAAGCACATCCAAAGGACCATGCTTCCCTCCCTGCACAAAACCCAGGCGAGTCTCCCAGCTCCAAGCCCTACCTTGCCTGGCTTCAGTTTGACCCAGAGCTCATTCTCTGGTCTCCGGAGCTCAGTGGTGAGGGTGCGGTGAGCAGCGTACCAGCGGTGCACAACGTCGTACGGCACCGTGTTGATGACAGCACGATCGTAGTTGTTGTATCTACAAGCAAAGAAGAGGTCAGAGACTGCCCAAGTGGCTCCATGAGCACAGCCAGGTATTGGCACAGGGAACCACAGGAGCCTGGGGGACTAGGCAGTATTTAAGGGAAGCCAGAGAGTTTACACTGCAAGTGCAGGACTGTCAGGAGAATACCCAGCACTGGGAGCAAGGAGTTTACTATCAAGTGTAAAACTGTTCTTGCTGGTGTCCTATGGAAGGATGTGCCACAGCAAAGGGCAAGGCCACAGGCTGTCAGAATAAGAATTCAAAGCCGTGCTGGACAGGCTCCTGCACTCAGCCAGGCTGGAGTTCCAGAAAGCAGCCTAAATTTCCTTTGGAAGTGGCACAGTCCACACTCTCCCTTTATGCCAGGCTGATTCCTAGAGGCTTTTTCAAAGAAGGGCTGAATCCTATTGCCTCTCAAATGAAAGGAGATGGGGGCATGGAGCTGAAGTGAGGAGAGGAGTGAAAAGCCAGAGCTCAGCACTGACACCCATCCTTGTCTGGGTGGTTCTGACACCTTCTCTAAAGCAGCAGTGCGCAGCCCAGGAGGAAACATGGGCTGTTCCTGCAGCTTCACCACTGTCCCTCAGATACAGTTTTTTCATGGAACCGCAGGCTGGTTCGGGTTGGAAAGGACCTTAAATTCCATCCAGTTCCAACCCCTGTCCCGGGCAGGGACACCTCCCCTTAGAAGGTGTCAGGATACCTCCTGAAAACCTTCCCTTGTCTACCACAGTCCCCTCTCCCATTAGCAAGAGGACTCACATGGCTGTTACCTGATGAGATAAAGCTCGTTGTTCCAGGGGTAGACATTGAGAACTGGCCCAATTCCAATCATGTGGTTGTGGCAGTCTCCCACATTCTCGACATACTCGTGCTTCAGCGGGACCTTGGTGAGCAGCTCAAATTGGTCTGGGGCACACTGGAGAACCTGCTCTGCCGCATAGAAACCATCCACCAGCAGCGTCCGCCCACCCGTGCCCTCGTGCTTCAGGCAGTGGAACACTTGGATGCTGCATGGGCAAGAGAAACCAGAGCATGAAGACACCTTGGCTGCCTGTCCCATGGCCAGAAGGTGCTCCCCATCGGGTGTAGGTGGATGCAACCACCCTTCTGGTTTCACTGAGGCCTGCCAGGGAACGGAGACAGACCAGCAATTAACAGCTGTGCCTGCCGGTTCTTAAGGCCTAATCTACACCACCTGAGAACAAGAGGACAGTAAATGCTGGTTGTACTGTTGTCACAAAGTACGAGGGTGTCCAGGCTGACTCTCATTCAAAGGCACATACATTATTGTCTCCCACAAGGCAACACATAAAAGACCCTTTAGAAAGCCTGGAGGAGTCTGCAGCAAGCATCTTACCTACAGGCACATCCCACCCTAGTGGGAAACCATCCAACTCAGCTTCTGTCCTTCCATTACTTCTCTGAAGCTTCTCTTTCCCTCTGTCCAAGCAAGGTGGGCATTGCCCTGTTAGAAGCAAACACCCAGGAGCTGCCTCCAGCCACCTTCCCTTGTTAGAAAATGAACTGTTACTTTCTGGGAAAGCAAAATTTATCTTCTGCTCTCCCTTCAGGGCCTCTGAACCCAGTCCCACAGCAGAGGATGGGGCAGCCCCTCCCAGCTGCACACTCACCAGCACCTTTTCACCTGGGTGCTCTATTCACCCTTTACAAAGTCAGTGCAGGAGCACTGGAGCAAAGGCCACTCTGTGCCTCAAAGGCAACAACCTCCTCCTGCAGCTCAGGGCTCTGAAGAAGCCTCTTCTCTTGGCAGGCTCTTTGGCACCTGAGGAGCTGGATAATGGTGCAGTCTTTCCCATAGCTTGGGGGTTTTCCATCTACCCTTTGTAATAACTTAACCTGAGACTTGTCAGGTCTCAGCCAAAGCAGTGGGGAGGAAGCAGACGTTGAAATGAACACATCTTTCTTGAAAAACACCTCATTTCACTTAGAAGCAGGCCAAAGACTCCAGCGTTTTGGAAGCAAGTCTGGAAGAGGCTGGGAAGAAAGGATTTCTGGCAGAGATGGGGGCTCAAGAAAGCCAGAAATTCATGTTCTTCCTGCACAACTCTGGCTTTGCAGAACTACAAGCACTAATGGTTAGCCCTACCAATCAAGCCCATGTTGCCTTTGCTTGATGCACTTCAGCTGGCTGCGGATGGAAGGTTCCCTACCTGAAGGGAACCCTTCCAAGTGGAAAAAAGATACAGAAAGAGCTAATGAGCTCTATAGTTCTGGCACGGAGCAGTTACATCAAAGACCTTTTGAAGGCTGAAGTTCTGATCTTATTTGATGTTGGGGGAGATTTTGTGAGCTCCTAAAGCAAGTCAGCCAGGCAGGTCACACCAGGCAGGTCACTGCAAATCACGGGTTCTGCACTCAGCTGTTAACTGAAAACAGAGAAGCCAACTACATCCAGTGCGGGGCAGGACCTGTGCTCTGTGTTCTGTGTACTTGAGCTGCACAGCGCACGGTCAAATCCACTGACTTCGCTCCTGACATCGAGCTGCTTCCCAAAAGCTTCCTGCCTGGCAGGGCACAGAAAGGGCTCAGGCTGCTCTGAGATCCACCTGCAGTCAACAGATCTCCCCTCTTAGTCCCCCTCTGCTTTTCCAGCTCTGCACTGCAGACCTTTCCCATTCAGGTGTTTAGCAAGTTACAGCCTCACTTGGGAAGAGCTGATCCTGCCCCGGGGCAGGAGGTGTGGACTGGGTGACTTCTCTTTGTAGCCTCATTTGCAGATCACAGTACCTCCACACATCTCCTCCAGGCTATTTCCCCTCTTGACCTAAGCCACTACTTAGGCTAGAAATGAAGCCTAAAGTCTCTTGCACTTCCCCCTGAGCCATGATCTGCTGCCTTTCCACCTCCAGCTGAGTATCAAACACACCCTAGAGGCTGTACCAGAAGAGCAGTTTGCAGAACGGCATTTGTGAAGCAATGCTGCAGCTACAAAATGCTTTTTAAAGCACAGAAGGCTGTGAGCTGGGGGAGCCTGGCTTCTGCCTACCTGCAGGGCTGCACCCCTGCCAAAATGCAGCCCCACCAGCGTGAACTGGTGCAGAGCAAGGCAAGCAGGGCCTCTGAGGTACCTCTCCACGCTGTGCCAAGGGGAGCTGCTCCCCCTCCTCTCCTGAGGCTGCTCAGCCCACAGAGCTGGCCCCATGAGGGTGAGGAGGGTTCGCCCCAGTCAGCAAGGGTAAGGCAAAGCAAACCTTTCCAGCAGCAGCTTTGTGCAACAGCTCAGGAGGGGCGCTTGCTGCAGGGGAAGCTGTGCTTTGCCAGATGGACCCAAAAGACACCTCAACCCAGCTGCTCACCCCCACGAACGCTGTGTGGCTCTTCAGAGACTCTGAGAAGAGACTGTGAGAAGCTTCAGGGTAGCACAGAAACGACCACAGCTGAGCCGCCTTTGTGACTACAAGGACTACTTGAACCACAGCAACACCAAGCTGCAGTCACTGTCTAACAGCCACGCCCTTCACTGGCGTGATTCCTTCTGGAATCCCCAAGCATAGGGAAAAGCGACCTACTGACTCCCCCCACTGCACAGGGATCAGCCAGGACCTGGAATTGCCGAGTGACCAGTGCAAGTACATCCCAGCATCAGCACTGAAGACAACACAGCCCCAGCAGAAGCACTCACCCACAGGGCTCCTGGAAGTAGGTTGTGTCTGTGTGACGATCCAGAGCCAGCTTGGTGTAGGCAGTGTCTCCCCGGGAGAAGTCCGAGGTGAAGTACCACATCCTGCCATAAATGGTCTCCCTGCAAAAGGGACAGGCAGTTATAGCATGGGCTGAGGGAGCAGGGGCTAGGACAGCAGATCCTCTCCTGCTTTGAGGAGAGGTCACTCCCCTCCAGCCTCTGTACAGAGGAAATTAAAGCAGAACAACGACATTCACATTGCCAAGAGCTGGTGCTTCTTGTGCCTCCTCCAGTGTTCAACTTGTCACTCTCCTCCCCAACAGACTCATGGCAACTGTCAAACCAAGGAAGCCCCTGAGCGACACGAGGAGCTGCCAGGGCACAGCCAGCCCCTGTCTGCACCCACCCACCACCAAGCCCACTTCTGTTCTCAGGATCTTGCGTTTTCAGCCACCTTCCCCCCTACAACATGCACAGAAGGAGACAGACAGAGGGACAAACAGTGCTCAGGGGCTAAGGGGGAGGGTACCTGGAGCAAAAAGCTGCCTGGATATTCCTTGGAAGCCCTCATTTCTGTTTCTACTCATTGGAAGCAATCCCTCCTCTCCCAGCAGCGTAAGGCACGTTAAAGGCTTTATGCAGGTTGGACGAGTTGAAACACAAACCCTGTCCTGCCATGCTGTTGGGCTGTTTGAAACACAGCAGGAACATTTCTCACTGTTTTTCTTTGGTGAGAGCTACAAACTGGTTCTGATCTCCCTGGCTCCCAGGCCAGGGCTGCCCTCCTAACCTTCCAAGTCACAACAGGAAATGCCTCTCTTTGCAAAGCTCTGCTCTTCCCAGACAGGCCACTTCCTCCAGTTCCTCCTCTCTGGGCATAGCCCCACTGTCACAAAAGTCACCACACGCTCCCGAGGCAGCTCCACAGCCTCATGGTCCAGGCTCTCACCTAGGAAGAGGCAGATTCCACAGTGCAACACTCCAGCTCGGTTCAAGCACAGCGGCCAGAGGCTGTGGAAGACCCAGACGTTTGCTTTGCAAACCAGGCCACAGGCAGGACACACGGGACAAGGCAGCAGCACCTTCCCAACGAACTGAGCAGCCTGCCCTTCACAGCTCCTGACAAAGCTGTCAGTGGCATTCGCAGGGCAGCCCCTGTTACCTGATCAAGCTGATCCTTTCTGCCACGATTTCTGTGTCCTCTTTGGTGGGCGCAACGTTCTCCACGAAAGCGATGCCATAAAGCAGGAAGTTCTGCAGGAATTCCTTCAGCCCCTCATCTGTGTCCAGGAAGCTCCGGCAGTCCACGGAGGGCACCTGGGCCTGGCGGTAGATTTCAGCATTCCAGAGGATGCGGGGGTGCATCACCTGCTGCTTCTGCCCCTCGTAGCTGTTCTTCACCAGCCACTCCAGCCCATAGCGCGTCACGTGCCCGTCCGGCCCTGAGGCAAGGGACCAGAGTCACAGTCACCACCAGTGGATGCCACAGTCCCAGGTCATGATCAGCACAATCACCAGTCTCAGACAGCCCTCACCCTGTTAATTTGTCTGGTGACCCCGATGTCACCCACACTAATGTCTGGTTCAGGCTACAAGTCCTGAAAGCATCACTGCTGCTGCCAGGAGCCAAATTCAGAGCCAAGGGTCTCAACTTCAGTGGTTCTGGTTTCTGCTGACAGAACTCCATGAGGAAGTTGAGCACAAAACCAGCTCGTAACTAAGGGTAAGTTACAACAAAAGGGAGAGAGCAACAAAGGACAGAAAACATGAGTCCTGACCAGGGATACCAGCTCAAACAGTAGGGAAAAGGAACCCAACCATTTCTTGACCAGTCTGTTCACTCCCTGCATTGCTGCTGGGTTCAAACCAACCAGTGAAACACCAGACACTGAAGATACATCTCTACCCAAAAAGGGCTCGCGAGGAGGGGGAGGAAAACACAGCTACACAGTTAAGACCAAGACATGTTATAGAAACAGCAACTGTTTAAAATCTGCTTAGGGCCAGATCTTAGGGCCGGAATTCCCAAAACAGTTACTGATTTAGAGACAAGGCTGCCCTCTCCCAGCACACGTAAGACCAGGATCCATCACTGAGGCTCCCTTCAAGCAGGGCTGGTAGCCCAGAAACCACGGAACAGGCACTTTGCTACCTACAGGTGAGGAAGAGCGTGGTCTCATCCACTCGCACGGCCTTAGGTTTGATGGCCAGGTCCACGCTGGCTGTGTCCAGGCTGCGCTGGTTGGTCTTGGCATTGTAGCAGGAGGCGGAGCGGCAGTGGTCCCGCAGCCACACGAAGTCCAACCGCATCAGCGTGTTGGCGTACCTGAGTTCTGCAGAGGAGGCTGGGCTCAGAGCTGCACTGGCGCCAAGAGGTGGAACCATCACCCAGAACTGAGCCCACGGGTTAGGACCCCACTGACTGAAGGGATGCACAGCTGGTTTGTCACACTACGCAGTGTCTTCATGGAAGGCCTGGCTGTCACTGAGCTCACCATGGGCTCCCTCCTTACCTAGCTCACCCTGCAGCAGGAAGGAGTACAGCTAACATGCTGCTCATATAATTACCTCTTTCTCTTCAAGCAGAAAATTCAGAGCTGTACATAACCTAGCTGCAGACCCCAGTACAGTAATACAGGTAAGAGTCAAACCAAGCAAACATCGAAGCTACACAAAGGTTACAAACCCCACCAAGACATTGAGGTAAGGCCTTGATATCCATTTAGTGTTAAAGCCTCTCCTCCTTGCTCCATTCCAGGACAGCTTGGGAATGCTCAAAGCCCTTCAGAAGGGGGAGCCAGCAGAGAAAAGAGGAGAGCGCTTCCTGCTCTAGTCCCACTCAGCTTTGAATCCAAGTATCCAAGGTCACTTTGCAACGGGAAAGCAACAATATCCTTTCTTGGGGGCACTGTGTTGGATAAAGGAACAAGCAATTCCCCTTGCTTCTGAGTGACCCAAGTACCAACATCTCACTGGCCTCAGCAGACAGAGGCTGGACCAGACCAAACACGTCCTGGGGAAACCTGTGCCTCAGTTGCCAAGTCACCTCCAAACCCAGGACAAGAGTCAGTCCTGCCTTTGGGAATTCCCAGAGGGAACATGGAACACAGAGACCAGCGTGCACCCCTCTAGCATAGCCCATTTCAGAAGAACACAGGGAACTGAAATCACTCCCAGGGACTGGCTGGGAGCAGGGACACGGGAGCCGGCACGTACCGAGGTGGTCGTGGTGTAACTGCCAGGCACACTTGAGGGACTCCGGCACCGTGTGGTGGCAGCGAGTGGCAGCAGCGAGGACGGGCCTGGTGTCACTGGGTGGCCACAGCAAGGCAGGGCTGGAGCTGCCACACAACCGGAGAAGCCTCACCAGCCTCTGACGCCACATCCTGAGCTGCTGGGAGAGATGGGAGAGAACTGGTGACACTGGTGACACACACACAGGGGGTGACACACACACAGGGGTTGCTGCTGCTGCCCAGCCTGGCCCTCAGCCCTGCATCCCCACACCAGGCACTGGCAGCACTCTGGGAAAGCTGGACTCATCCCCCCAGTCCTCACTGATGGACATGAGGTGAGAGAGCTCAAGCACTGAGGAGGGGAGAAGTGCGTGGGATCAAAGGAAAGGCTGAAGAGGGCTGGGAGGCCCATTTTCAGGTTCTTCTCTCTTGTTGGCCTCCCCCCGCTTCTGGGGTAAGGGCAGGAGAGGAGCAGGAGGGAAGATGGTGCTGCACGTGAGCCCTGCTTGCCTGCAGCTCCTGCCCATCACACACTGACAACAAGGAACCATCAGGGGTTCAGGGAGCCTTCTTACCAACCTCAGCGCATCCAATGCAGCAGCTGCAGCAGCACCAGACACAGGGTGTCTCACAGTGGAAAACAGTCCTGGGAAACAAATGAGAGCCCAGGATTTACCAGGCAAAGCAATTCCAGAAGGGACTGCAACGTGCTGCCAAAGCCTCATCTGCTACAGGTCTCGGCCTCGCTCTGGCCTCCCCACTTTGAATTCCCCATTCCTGGGCAAAACTACAGAGCTATGGGAAGAGAGAAAAGTGACTTTAGGTAGAGGCACAGGAACTGGAGGAATCCGGGGATTAGGTCAGTTCTAGAAGAGCATCAAAACACTGAGAAGGAGGACGAGGAGGATCTCTGCTGCTGCTGAAGGACACCACCAGCACAGAAGAGAGTCCAACCAGGGTTAATCTTAGCCTGGAGATCATGGGACCATTACTCGGAGGGAGATCTGTAATGACTCAATTCAAGGGCAAAACCTTCCAAGCATTAAGATGTGAAGCCACGCAGAGCACCCTGTCCTGGTTATCCATTTCTGAAGGGCAGGTCTCAACCCAGCAGGATTTAACAGCATTGGTCTCAAATGCACAGAAATGTGGCACCACTGGGGAGACACAGACTCGGGGAGCTTTTCTTATCGAAGACTTGTGATTTTCTGCCATGCTTTCTCAACACCGGAGCTGTGGCTGCCCCACCTGCTTCTCCACTCCAGAGCTGAAGATTGCAGAGCTCTCAAAGTTGGCACTAACAATAAAATCAGCTATTCCATGCTCTCAGACAACAACTCGCTGGGCAGGAACAAACTAAACCAGAGGCAGCTCTAGGGGAAAAGCCTAGAAACAGTTTTCTAACAGAACATGGTCTGAGGTGGGGACGTGCCCCTTCAGCAAAGGCTCACGAGGTTCCTGGCCTCGAGTCACCAGCAGCTTCAGCCCTGCACAAAGATTCCAACTTGGAAGTGCCGGATCTGCAGCTGCCAAAATGCAGCCCTGGCTCCTGGCAGTTACAGGAATCAGCTGCCAAGTCATGGATATGGACCTCTGAGATCGTCCAACATTAACCCAGGGCTGCCGAGGCCACCACTAAACCCCGTCCCCAGGTGCCACATCTACACATCCATTTAACCCCTGCAGGGACGGTGACTCCACCACTGCCCTGGACAGCCTGTTCCAGGCTTAACCCCTTCAGTGAACAAACTGCTCCTAATCTCCAGTCTAAACCTGCCCTGGTGCAACCTGAAGCTGTTTCCTCTTGTCCTGTCACTTGTTCCTTGTGAGACCAAACACTGCTGTGAAGCCCATGAAACTCCTCAGAGATGCTGACTGAGCTACAACACCCTGAAAGACCCGGATTCTTGCTACAGACAGAGGAACGGGGGCACCAGAACTTACACAGCCCAAGCCAGAGTTACCAGGCACCTGAAGACACACCACAGGACTTGCTCTTCCCTTTGGTGGTCTCCAGCCGGGCAGAAGATGAGGTTTCGTAGAACAGCCAATGCTCAGTCCTGGAAGAACACTTTCCAGCACACTGAAAATTCAATACAGGGAAAGGAACTCTCCACTTCTGATGTGCAAGCTCAACCAAGTGAAGAAAAGCCACAGCTAGAGAAAAGCAGAACTTGACTATGATGTGTATTGGCTTTAGAACTTAAACAAGTCCCTGAACGAAGCACCATGGCTCATAAAGCATCAGCCTGTTCTTTAGAATGCACAGGAGGGGAGGCTCTACCTAGGTTTTGGTATCAAGAAACGCCAACAGGGAAAGGAAAAGAGCAGCCACCTTGTTTGCCTACGCCTGGTGTCCTCACACAGGACCTAGAGCTCACCTCCAAATCCCTTTAGCAAGTGGCCTCTGTCGAGGGCAGCTCAGCCCTGGTTCTATCTTTCTGCACATGTTCCTTTTATCTCATCCTCTCCCAGTATCAAAACTCACCAGAGAACACACAGAGGCAATGGTGAGTGACCCAGATACTGAACCTCATCACTGAGACCTCCTGCTCCTCTGCTGTCCTTGCTGGAAACAGACACCAACAGCACACAGAGAAATCTTGAATGAAATCTTCGCAAGAGATCCTAAACCTGAGAGGAGCTGCACCAACCCCTGTGATCAGAGAGGGTTTACATTCTGCCTTTGTGTTCAGTCAGAGCCAAGAGCTCTCCCGGCTGAAATCAGGTATGGGAACAGCCAGCTCTTCCCCTCACCTTTATCCTGCCCCAGAGCCCACCAGGCAGTGGATGAAAGCCAGGAGCAGGATCAGACCCCCCGTGAGCAGGAGGAAACATTCCAATGTGTTGTGAGCTGAGGAATTCCCTTGAGAGGGAGGCCGAGACAGGTTGTGAGGGGAGGAGGAAGGAAGAGAGGCCTCAGGAGGGGCTCATGTCCAGGGGACTTCCCGCTGCTGCCACAAGTGCTGGTTCCTTGAGCTCTGCTAAACCCCACAATTCCCCCTGTGAGCAAAGGAAAACACTGAGCTAGAAAAACCAGGAACCCGCTGGTTCAGCGATGCCAACACACATGGAAGGAGAAGCCCCACACCTCTGTGGACTGGGGCCAGCTTGTAGCCAAAGCCTGCCAGGAACCAGGCAGCTGATGCTGGGGACGCTGCTCTGAAGCCTGACCTGTGCTGGTGCTGTGAACAGACCTGACCTGTGGCAGTACGGCCAGCCTGGCTTCCAGGCTCCTTCAGCATCCCAGAAAGAATTCCCTGTTTCTCACTGAGCATTCCTGAGAGCTCAGCTGCACCCTTGTCCACGGCTGGAGCCTCTGGCTAAAGCAAAGGGTTCTGATCCACCAGCAGCATGAGATTTCAGCAGCACAACAGGCCTTGGGCTTCTGAGAGAGAGAGGAAAGGGAAATCCATTGTTTTGTGGAGGCAGCCTGAGGAATAGCGTGCAAGCCTCAGGCAGGGCAGCTCGGAAAAGACCTCTAAGATCCTCAGACTGAACTGATCCCCAGCAGTGCCGAGGCCACGGCTGATACCAGCGAGCGCCGCTACTGCAGCAACGGGGAAAGCAGCTGAAGAGCAGAGCGCTGCAGAGGCTGGGACAGAGCTGCTGCCCCGGGAGGAGCAAAGGGGCCAAGCCCCGCGCTGGGAAGCAGCTCTTGGGCACAGGCACTGGGCTGCCGGCAGAGCGAGAGGGGCCGCAGCCCGAGCTGTCCCCCCTCCCAGCCGGCTGCGGCTGTGCCCCGCTGAGAGAGGCTCCTGCCCCCCCGCAGGCTGCTGCTGTTGCAGCCACCGCGTTAGGGCTGAGCGCTCAGGACCCATAGTGTCCTCCAGCCCTCCCCCACGGGCACCGCTCGGAAACTCAGAAGCCGTTAAAGGCACCCCAGACGCGGCAGCTCCGTCCACAGCCGCTGCGCTGCCCTGGCAGCGAAGGGAAGAACCTGCTCGCCCGACTCCAGACCCCGCTTCCCACCGCTTCCCGCACCCTCCTGCTCGGAGCTCCTCCGCGGCCTCCAGCGGAGCCTTCGTGGGCGCAGCCGAACGCAGCGACCTCCGCGTCGTTTCCTGCCCCGCAAAGAGCCGGCTCTCGGAGCACCGCCCCCGGACTCCTCCCGCAGCTCGCTCCTGTTCGCGGCCACTGCCCCGCCCCGGCCCGCAGGGGTTGTCTTTGCTGCGGGCGGCAGCGCACGGGCTCTGCCGGAGCTGCCGCGGGCGAAAGCTCCGGTCCCTGCCCAGCAGGGGCTGAAGCCTCGAGCCCCGCGTGCGCCCGGGGCATGGCCGTTACCTGCGCTGCGGCGGCGAGAGGCGGAGTGAGGCCGCGGCGGGGCCCGGGCGGCTGCAGCGGTCCCAGGGGCGCTCCGCGGCTCCTCCCGGCCTCGGTCCCGGCGCCACGGGAGCGGCCGCGCTGCTCAGGAGCGGCTGCGCAGCGCCAGAGGCGGCGCCGGAGCCCCCGGAGCGGGTCCCGCCGGTCTCGAGCGGCGCAAAGCGCGGGACGAGCGGCGACGCCGCCGAGCTCCGGCCCCTGCGGCGGCTGCGGAGCTTCCCGACAGGAGCCGCGGAAGGCGGCGGGGCTGGGCCGGATCGGGCCCGCCCCGGGGAGGAGCCGGCACCGATCACGAGCGGCAGCGCCCGCCGGAAGAGGAGCGCTGGGCAGAGCGGCGCCACCAGAGGCAGGGGACTCGAGCGTCGGCGGCAGCCGCCAGGCCCGCCCGGGGCAGGGACGCGCTGCGAAACACCGCCCGGGAGCCACGGAGAGCGGGGCGGCGTGTAACATAGAGGGGAAAGCAGAGCGACTGCCGACCACAAAGAGGCTAGAGCGCCTGGAAACCACAGGGAGGTGCAGAGGGCACCGTGTGGCACAGAGACTCCGGCCTGTGGCCACAGCACCGCACATGGGGGGTACAGCGGCCTCTGGAGCACCCCGTGTACCATAGGGATGCGGGCCTGTGGCTAGAGCGTCCCACGTGTACATTAGAACAGCGGTTGCAGTGCCCCTTGTACCATAGAGATTTAGGCCTACAGCCAGAGCGCCGCACACGTACCATCGAGCGAAGGCTAGAGCATCCCTCCTACTAGATAGGTGCAAGCCTGTGGCCAGAGCGTCGCATGTGCACCACAGAGAGGAAGCTGGAGTGGCGGGCATACCATGCACACAGCCCTGCGGCCAGAGCGCCGCACGTCTACCAGAGAGATGGTTAGAGTGGCACAGGCCTGTGGCCAGAGCGCCGCACGTCTACCAGAGAGAGGTGGCTAGAGTGGCAGACATACCATAGAGAGGTGGCTAGAGTGGCAGACATACCATAGAGAGGTGGCTAGAGTGGCAGACATACCATAGAGATGCTGGCCTGCGGCCAGAGCGTGTCACGTCTCCCCCAGAAAGCCGGCCCTGGAGCCGCACGTACCTCCGAGCCGGGCGCTGTGCCGGCAGCGCCGCCTCCCCGCGGTGTCTCCGCTCGGGCCGCTCTGTCCCGCGGGCTCGCGTCGCCACTGCCCGGGGGCTGTTTCCATAGCGAGGAGCACAGCTCCAAGCTCACCTGCGGGCGGCGCACGCGCACTGCGGCGGGCACGGCACTGCACGGACCGGGCTTCCGCTCCCCGGCTCGGGCGGAGCCGCCCGCCCCGCCCCGGCCCAGCCCGGCCCTCCGCTCCTCTCCGCTCCGCTTCTCCCCGCTGCTCCTCCGCGTTGGCCCGTGTGTGCGCGCAGGGATGCGCGGGCCGGGCTCCAGGCGCTGCGGGGCAGAGCGCGCTTTTACGCCGTAACCGCTGGGTTCATCCGGAGGCACCGGACCCCTTCGTGCCGCAGGGCTGAGGCGCAGCGCTCCCTGCCCCGGCCCGACCCCGCGGCAGCTCCGCTTCCACTCCAGGACCCTCGGGGCCCGTTGCCTTCGGGCGCGGATCCCTCGGAGCCCCACCGGGAGCGGTGTTGTGGGCCCGAGAGCGGCGGTGCCACCCCTTGGGGTGTGGAGCATGGTCCTAGAATCCCGACTGGTTCTGGTTGAAGGGATTTTACAGCTCCTCCAGCTCAACCACTCTCACGGGCAGGGACCCCTTCCACTAGAGCAGCTTGCTCCAAGCCCCTGTGTCCAGCCTGGCCTTGAACACTGCCAGGGATGGGGTCTGTGGGGCTCAGTAGGGTTTATGGCCTGTGCTCCGCTTTCGGGGCTGTGGCAGACAGCCCTCATTTGCCTCCCAGCGCCCGGCGCGTTCTGCTCGCACCCGCAGCCTGGCTCAGCACGGAGGAGCCCGTGTGCTGGGGAAGAGCCGGGATCGGGGGGGTTAAACAAGCAGCGGCCGCTCAGTGCTCCTCCCGTGCCCGAGGGGTGCTGGGGACAGGGTCCCGTCCGCACCCGGCTGGAGGAGCGGCAGCAGCCTGTGCCCGGCAGCGGCTGCCCGGGAGGATGCCGGGGCCGGTGGCGGGGCCGAGCGGCGCTCGCTCCATACACGCGGGGTTCTCTCCCCATGCGGCTCCTGCGCGGGCAGAGACTGGGAGATGTTCCCACAGGGAATCCGCAGGTGCCAGGAACCGCGGGATCGCCGCGGGAGCAGCGGGTGTGTGTGTGTGTGTGTGTCTGGGTGTGGTTTTGGGGGTAAAACGTGTGTTAAATTGGGGGGGGGGGGAAGGAGCTGCTCCGGTTTGGCCCAACGGGAATGTCACCATCCAGCACCAGCCAACCCAGAACACAGCTCCACACAACCCGGCCTGGGTGACAGCACGGTGAGATGTGCTGCTGGAGGAGACTGAGATGAGCTCTGAGGCAGAAGCTCTTCCCTGTGAGGGTGCTGAGGCGCTGGCACAGGGTGCCCAGAGAAGCTGTGGCTGCCCCATCCCTGGCAGTGTCCAAGGCCAGGTTGGACACGGGCTTGGAGCAAGCTGCTCTAGTGGGAGGTGTCCCTGCCCATGGCAGGGGGTTGAATCTGGATGAGCTTTAAGGTCCTTTCCAACCCAAACCAGGCTGGGATTCTGTGAAGATCCGAGGAAAATCCAAAGGATCTAAATCCTGGAGTGGCTCTGATCCTCGCTGTGGCTGTGCAGAGCTTGATCTAAGGGCTGTTGAAGCTGGGGACCTATGCCGGGTGCCCATGGTGCTGCTGGCTGTATTGTTGGCTTCCCTGCTCCGGTGTTCCTCTTCCCTGAGGCCACGCTCCCACTCCCAAGGATTCGTCACCTCCCCATGGAAGCAAATGCTTGTCACTTTTTATTATTTTTTTTTAAATTCCCCCTCTTTTGTCTCTGGTTACTCGAAGGAAAGAAGCAAGCCCGGACTCAGATGTTTGTTTGCTGTGTCCTGGCCTCTGCTCCCTTGGTAACCCTCCAGTGGCAGATCCACTGGCAGGGAGTGGGAGCAGGAGCACAGCAGAGCCTGGGAAAGGCCAGGGCCCGCTTCCCTCACCCTTGCGTCATCATGAGCCCAGCCTGGAGCCACGACTGCTCTGCTCCAACGCTGCCCTCGGAGCGGCAGCATCTGCCCCTGTTCCAGCTCGTGGGACACCTGCATTGAGCCACAGCCTGGATTGGGTTGGAGGGCCCTTAAAGCTCCTCCAGTTTCAACCCCTGCCACGGGCAGGGACACCTTCCACTAGAGCAGCTTGCTCCAAGCCCCTGTGTCCAACCTGGCCTTGGACACTGCCAGGGATGGGGCAGCCACAGCTTCTCTGGGCACCCTGTGCCAGCCCCTTGTTCCCAGTGGCCTTTGGTTTGCAGCAAATTCCCTCATCTGTTCCAGCATCTGTGTCGTGGGAAGTGACAGTGAATCGCTCAAATGATGCGGAACACCCCTGTGGGCACCTGGGTCCAGTGAGAAGAGCACAAGTGGCCGAGGAGGAGGATCTCTCTGCCCTTCCCTCAGCACGTCTCCTGCCTTTTCACAGTCCCACTTGGTTGGCTCCAGCTCTGGCTCCCTTCTCCCAGCCCTGGGTGTTTGGCACAGCTTTCCCATGATCCAGGCAGCCTCCCCCTGTGGAGTTGGGTGCTGGAGGGGTGATTGGGGGGGTCCCCGGGCTCTGCTTGATGCCAGGTCCTTCCCAGCACCCTGCATGCAGCAGCCCAATATGTCCAATATTGAGGTGCTGGATCATCGCCCTCCCTCCAGTCTGCTCCGTGATGCCACCCCATGAACATGCTTTGGATCATGGTCTTGGATCACCTCGTCCTCTGGCCATTCCTGGGGGGGTCTTCCACATGTCCCACAGCATGGAAGCAGAAAGGATCCTTCTCAATTCACTGCAGACTGAAGTTAAACCATTGCACTCATCAGAAGTGGTAAACTGAGTCAGCTGGTGTCCATGTGTCCTTGAGGATGTCCTCCAAGAAGGGAGGAGGTGGCCAGTGTGGGCAAGACAAGCCCTTCCCTTGGCTTCTTCATTTGCTGTAGGGCAGCGGGGGCTGTCCCAGCCTGCTCTCCCACCCTCCACTCCTGGGAATGAGAAAATCTCCAGACTCATATCACACACACACACATTCCCCCCCCGGGAAAATGAGAGTGGGGTGTCCCTGGAAGGACAGACACCCTGTGCTGGGGCAGGGATGGAGCAGCAGCTGCACCTTCCCCTGCCCTCCATGGGGACAGGGGCAGGCAAGCCTGGACACAGCCAACGCCTCCCCCCTGTGCTGAGTGAATGCTCCTCCTGCCCAGGGCAGCAATCTGGCAAGGGGAAGAGTGGCTCCCTGGGATGAGTGGGAGGGGGTGGATGATTCAGGTGGGAGCCACACAGAGACTGGCCCATTCAACCCAGGACCTCAGTGACTCCATGAGTCTGAGCTGAGGGTTGGAGTCTCACTGCGACCCATGTCTCATGTCCCCAGCTGTGCCCCATGGCTCCTTCATGGAGCAGGAATTCTGGAGCTCTGCCTGCCCCCAGCTCCATCCCCCTTGGGCATCCCTGGGGTCTCCCCTCAGCTTCCCCCTGCCCCAGGATTACCCTTCACCCCAGGGTCACTGCTTTGGCTGCTGCACAGCCCCTTTCCCCTTCCGACCCGACTTTCCCACTGCCTGCAGCACAGCATGGCCATGGCCCTGCCCCAGCCTTTCTGTGGCCCCTTGGGTCCTGCTTGGAGCAGAGGAATGTGGCTCAGCAGCCTGGGCGCTCTTTGTCCCAGTGAGTGACCCTGGAGGGGTGTTGGGGTCAGGATGCTTGGCACAAAGGCAGACACTGGGGTTGTCCCCATCCAGGTAAGCCCCTGAGCTCAGCCCACCCTGGCAGGGCAGCATGGACCAGCAGCATCTGTGGGGAGCATCCCTGGACTGCTGGGACATACCTGGCCACTCTGGGAATCACAGAAACCCAGCCTGGTTTGGGTTGAAGGGACCTTAAAGCTCATCCAGTTCCAACCCCTGCCACAGGCAGGGACACCTCCCATTAGAGCAGCTTGCTCCAAGCCCCTGTGTCCAACCTGGCCTTGAACACTGCCAGGGATGGGGCAGCCACAGCTTCTCAGGGCACCCTGTGCCAGCGCCTCAGCACCCTCACAGGGAA